TGTGCTTATCACACTAATCCAGATTTAATAAACACTGTGGTGTATTGCGACTCACTGAACCTTCTGTCTTATGTATTCTTTTAGGAGGCAAGATTGAGCTGGGCTTCCTTAGCCCTTCTGAGGCTTGAGGAATGCAGTTCACTAGTGTGAAAGGACTGGAGCTATCTCCTCTATGTCAGGAGACCTTTTATGGGCAGCACACTCTAGAGGTTGCTCCGTATCTGCACTCCAAAATTGTCCTGTGAAACTAAAATCCATCAGTTGGCATTTCCTTCCTCCCCGACCTTTGTGGTAACACTTTCCACCCTATTTTATTTCCATTTAAGCTCTGAGGGATGGATTTTGAACAGGAAAACGTTACCACGGTTCATAGGTCAGCCCAAACGTGACTTCCTAACACAGCAAGCACCTTCCTGCTCGTGGCTGAGCTGCCGTCAGGTGATCTGGGCTCTTCGCCATACCTGATGCTCGCCAAAGGCTGCCACGCCGCCCGCTTCCACAGTTGTCTACGGGAGAAAACAAACAAACAACAACTATTAAATAAATGAATAAGTAAATAAATAACGGAATAAAACGTCTCAGGACTCCAGCAGCACCACCTCGCTCGACCGCCACCGCTGACCTTCCCACCCCCGGCCGGTCACAGCAGCACCGCCCGCTCCCGCCCGGCCCTATAGCGGCAGCCGCGCCCCCCCCGGCCGGGCGCTGCCCACAACCAAGATGGCGGCGGCGGCGCCGTGCGGCGCGGTGGGGCGATGCCGCCTGCAGCTGTTGGTGCTGGCGGCGGCGGCCGCGGCCGGCCGGGTGGCGGCCGTGAGGGGCGGCATGTTGTACCCCCGCGAGAGCCCCTCCCGAGAGCTGAAGGAGCTCGGAGGAATCTGGAGCTTCCGCGCCGACTTCTCGCCGGGCCGGGACGCCGGCTTCGAGCAGCGCTGGTACCGGCAGCCGCTCCGGCAGGTAGCGCGGGGCTGGGCGGGCGGGCGGCTCCTCTGGGACAGCGGCTGCTGCGGGGCTCTTTTCCCAGGAGCAGAGAACTGTTCCGCTTCCCCTCTGCTCAGATGCTCGCCTCGCATCGGGGCTGCACGGAACGTCCTGCCCGAAGGCGCTGGGGAAGCGTACCGCGTGCTGCTGGGGCCGTCCGGCGCTGCTCGGAGCTCCGATCCTGCCTGCCGCAAGCTGTTAGCTGCTCCTTCCTAAGTGACCGAGTGCAGATAAGCAGGTTACGGTGTAACTTCGATCTGCTGTTAAGTGAACCCCGGCTCCCTCTCTGTGCAGTGATTATGCATATCCTAAGCTGAAAGCTCCATCCTTCCCCTTTTAGCATTCTGGACGGTTTTTAGCCTAATTCTGAGAGGAGAGGAGGGCTGTGGGCAGAAAAGAGCCAGAGGGGGGGGATCCCAAGCAGTGCTCCCAGCGGGGGCTTAGAAGTGCACTCAGCATTCACACACCGGGAATCTCCTTCAAGAAGATGCACGATGTGGGCATCCTGGCCAAAGGTTTCATAGCACCAGGTGCTACAAAATCTGCTTCACCCCAAGTCCTTGTTTCCCTGTTAGCATTTTGTGATGTCTACTAAGGATTCAGTTTCTCTGCAGCTCCATAAGTGTGAGCACTGAGTCAGCCCTGCACATGGAGGTCGTTCCAGGGCCTTCCTGGTTCCACTCTTCATGGAAAGAGGAAGCACTCCAGCTGTGCACTGCTGCAACATCACAAGTGCAGCAGGTGCTAAAAATGAATGGCTCAGTTGTGTCATAGCATCCGGTTACTGAGATGTTAAATGCATTACAACACTGCCTGCCTATAATCCTTACATTAATAACGAGCCGAGTGAATTACTGCTATGGCAATTGCTTTTAAGGAGCACGAAAGGCCCATGTAAAGAGGTATAAACAGTGCTTCCTTGGGGGTGCTGACTTGAAAGTTCTACAGCTTCTGCTGCTGTCACTCTGTGGCTCATGGCCTGGCACAAAACATCATGGCAGTGAGCTGACATTGCAGCACTGTGCACTGAACTGCTGGAGCTGTGTGCAAGAAGAACTGCACTTTGTGAGGCATCACAGGCTGAGCAGCCACCTGGGCATTTCCCTCCTTCCCACTGTGTGGTACCAGAGCTGTTCATAAAAGCATTTCAAGAGGGGAAAAGATATCAGCAGGTTCATTCTGTATGAACAGGGCTTGGTAGTTAGCAGGACTTGTGTGGGACAGACCACGCTGGTTTCTAGGCAGGTTCTTCCAAGTATTTCCACTTAGAGAGGCTGTCAGTGGAAGGGGATACCTCCACCAGTACAGGCTACATAACCAAACAGCAGAATTTCTTCTTTTTAATGATTTGCTCCTTTCTGTTCTGTTCAATTCCTGCCAGACTGGTCCTGTTATTGACATGCCAGTGCCTGCCAGCTTCAATGACATCACTCAGGACCCCCACTTGGAGAACTACATTGGCTGGGTGTGGTATGAGAAGGAGGTGCTGCTTCCTCAACGTTGGCTGCAGGACGACCTCAGCACCAGGGTGGTGCTCCGGTTTGGCAGTGCCCACTACTACTCCATCGTGGTACGTTGCACGGGTGGTTGTGTTTGTGTTTCTAAATCCCAGTTGCCCATCGCTGTGCTCCTTCCCTTCTTGCTGTTACGACTGCCACCAAATCTTAACCCTGCCTTTTGGGCTCACGGCTCTCTTCTGTTGCAGTGGGTGAATGGAGTGCAGGTTGTGGAGCACGAAGGCGGCCACCTCCCTTTTGAAGCAGATATAAGCAGGATTGTCCAGCGCAGCCCTGGGGTTCCCTGCCGTATCACTGTTGCACTGAACAACACTCTGACGCCGCACACTCTGCCTCCGGGGACAATTCAGTACATGAATGACAAAACAAGGTGATCCACTAGCGTGCTGCACTGTCAGGTTAACCCAGGGATGAGAGAGTGGGGATTTATTCAGCTGCTGTCTCATAAGACCCTCTGTGCAACTTAGAAGAGCACGGGTTGTGTTTTTACTAAAATTCGTCAGCCAAGCAGTGAAAAGTTTAAGTTTCAGTGTGATGAGGAATCTACACTGAACTACTGCATCTGTTTTATACACAGGGAACTAAGATTAAATGGTTTGCAAAGCTGAATCAATGGCAGATTGAGAAGCTTGAGTTCAGCTGGAAGTGCAAGAGCCTGCTGTCCTGAAGGATCAAACCCATTCAGTGCAGTAGATGTTTGTTAACTGGTAAAGCCCTTCAGCATAGCATCAGTAGCACTGCTGAAATACAGACCCATCCTGTTGTAAAGACTGTTTTACCAGCACATCATACCAGCATCCATATGCTGCCTTCAGTTCTTGTGTAATGAAACATAATGCAGCCGTTTTTCCTGTCTTCCTCACTCAGGTATCCCAAGAACTATTTTGTACAGAACATCAGGTTTGATTTCTTTAATTATGCTGGAATCCATCGCCCAGTTGTGCTTTACACCACACCTTCTGTCTACATAGATGATATTACTGTGACAACTACTTCATCAGAGAGTGTTGGTATGTTCAGAGCAATTACAGCAGCAACCTCCGGCTCCAAATTGAGATGACAAGGGCAATAGAAAAAAATAACCTGCAATTCCAATTGAATTTGTTTTGTAGTGGCTTTTGTTTTAACCTTAGCTGGTCTAGTGCCTGGCTCAGCAGTTGCTGATTAAAAAATAATCAGAAACAATAAGAAAAAGTACTCACAAGACTCTGTTGTTAAAGTGAGAGGACAAGCAGGTGTTTCTAGAAGTAGGATTCCTCAGCAGAGGCAGTCTTTCTGCCACTTAAAGCAGGATTATCTCTAAGTAACAGATATTTGTGTTATACAAATCTACCTGAAAGCTTCTGGACCTCAAGATAGGTCACACTTGTTATAATTTGTACCTTTCTATTGTTGTTGCTGTTTTCCCTTGCTAGTTAATGCTGCTGTATGTGAAAATTTCCCCACATGCGATGTATGTATTTTGTCTTTCATGCCAGTCTCTGACTGTGCTTTGTTGTCCTTTGAACCAGCAATGGTGCAATATCAGGTATCGGTAGTTGGCAGCGAACTCTATTCCTTGTCTCTGAGTTTACGTGATCAAGAGGGGAAAGTGGTTGCTACAGGCAGCAGGCCAGCTGGAGAGTTAAAAGTGCCAAATCCAAACCTGTGGTGGCCTTATCTGATGCATGAGAGCCCTGGATACCGCTACTTCTTAGAGGTAACAGTGACATCTCTTCTTCTGTGTGCATTTCTTCTCACTATATAACAGCGTTACGGAACTGTCGTATGGCCCATCTTTCTTATTTTTGCTCTCCCCTGGATCCTGTCCACATCTCTAGAATGGCATTACTAGTTATGCTGTAACCAATTTGAGCTCTGGATGCTGAATGGGAAGGTCGGTGGTGAGAAGAGCAGGGCACACCTGAGTGCATGCATGTGCTCTCAGGTGTTTGCCTTTCACATCTCTGGCCTGATCTGCCTGCTGCAGAAGGACTATTTGAAACAATACGAGGGAGGAAGTGCTGCATGATGGAGGGTAGAGCCTCTGGGAAGCAGGTTGAGCTCCTCTTTGATGCACATTGCCACGCAGTGAGCTTTCTTCCCACTCTGCGCAGAGTGCAGCACCCATAGACAGCCTGGAGGGCTCTGCCTCCCCAGCACCTCATGCACAGCTTTCCTTTGGGAACCCAGGTGAAGATGCAGGCTGAGGCCAGTGGCGTGCCGCAGGAGGACATCTACACCCTGCCGGTTGGCATCCGCACCGTTCACATCACCAGCACGCAGTTCCTCATCAACGGAAAGCCCTTCTACTTCCACGGGGTCAACAAGCACGAGGACGCGGATGTAAGTGCGGGCTCACCTCACCGCGCTGCCACAGCCTGGCTATCGCTTCTAGTCACAAATAGCGGTTTCCCGCCCTTACAAGCAGGGCGGGCGCTGAGCTTTGAGCCGCGCATCTGCGAGGCTCAGCCCGGCCACGGGGCGGCCCTCAGCCCCAGCGAACGCCCCGTCCCGCCGCGCGGAGCCGCCCTTCCCGCCTCGCCTTCCTCACCTCAGCGCCGCGCGTTCGCTCATCTCCCGTTCCCTCACCTCCCTCCTTCAGGAGAGCACTGTGGAGGGGCAGCTTGGTTACAGCCCTCACTGCGGCTACTTCTCCCAACCCCGGCCTTAAGCTTATGCTTGAGGTTGCACTCATAAAGATGCACAGAGAGATCTTGTGCGCTGAGGCTGGAAGAGCTCCGCGATGCCCATCTGCAGTGCGAGGCGAAGCCCTGCGCTGCAATACGACAGGATTTGATTTGTTGTCCCCCTCAGATTCGTGGCAAAGGCCTGGACTGGGCGCTGATTGTGAAGGACTTCAACCTGCTGCGCTGGCTGGGGGCAAACTCCTTCCGCACCAGCCACTACCCCTATGCTGAGGAGATCATGGACCTGTGTGACACCTATGGCATCGTGGTGATCGATGAGTGCCCGGGAGTGGGGATTAAGTTGCCGTAAGCAAAGCACAAAGCACCATTCCCCTTATGTCTTTCCCTCCCACAGCTTCCCCCTCCCATCCTGAAGCTCGTGACACCCTGATAATGAAGGCACTTTGCTCTGTTTAGAAATCAGCCTGTCACATTTTAAAGCCTCCCCCAGTGCTGCGTCTGCCCACTGAGGTTAGGCAACCAGAGGGCGTTCTGCCACATGGCTGTTGTGTCATCAGACCTGGCTCCATCAGTGAGCCCAAACCACGGCCCTGAACTGTGCAGCAGCCTTCGGGGAAATAAGGCAGAAGCCACATTCAGTTTCAGTGCTCATGGGTGCTTACCAAAGCTTGAGTTATCCACTCCATTTGCTGTAGAATCATAGAATCGTTAAGATTGGAAAGGACCTCTACGATCATCCAGTCCAACTGTCCACCTACCACCAATACTGTCACTGACCACGTCCCTCAGTGCCACATCTCCATAGTTCTGGAACACCTCTAGGGATGGGGACTCCCCCTCCTCCCTGTGCAGCTGTGCCACTGCATCACCACTGTTTTGGAGAAGAAATTGTTCCTGATATCCAGTCTCAACTTCCCCTGGCACAACTTACCTGTGATTTTTTATTCTTACCTAGTCTTGTTTCCTTTTCAGTGAGAGCTTTGGGAACAAATCACTACAGCATCATCTCGTTGTGATGGAGGAGCTGATCCGCAGGGATAAGAACAGGCCCTCAGTTGTGATGTGGTCAGTAGCCAACGAGCCAGCATCAGATCTGCCCCCAGCTGCTTACTACTTCAAGTAAGTGCTCATACACAGAACTGAGGCTTGAATTTAGGCAAGAGGTGTACCTTCATGTTTAAGATGGCACAGAAGTAACCCACAGATGCAAACAAAAAGTGTAACTAAAGCATATGTTGAACCAATGTTCGGAAATGTAATGGTCTCTGAATCAGTAAACCTCTGCAAAATTGCCAGGATTCTATTTGGTCTCAGCATCTCTTCTTGAGACAAGGGAAAAGCAAAAGCAGACCTGATGGGAACAGGTTACCTTGTTACTTAAGAAAGCTGAATGCTAAATTCTCAATCTGAGAATTACTGCAAAGGTATAAAATATTTGGCCTTTAATTCTGTAGATGAGGTTCTTCAGTTAATTGTTAGTCATTTGTTTTGTGGATGTTAGTGACACCCTACTTCAAAGCCACTGCTTTGTGTCCCTACAGACCCTTTGGTTTTATTCTGAAGAGGTTTAAGCTTTGGATAGCCAAGAATAATCCTGCAGTGGGGGCAGCAAACTGTCACTGATAGCTGTAAGTGCATTCAGGGAGAACTGGGAATTTTCATTTCTCAAAATGATCCACCACCCTTCTGCAATGCTGGGGTAGCCGCAGAACCTCACCTTCCCATTCTCTCATTTCCCTCATTTTGGGCTTCCTTCATAGCAGCCTACCTGTGCCTGCTGTAGCATAAGGATAAGGCAATGTTTTTGGAGAAACAGACCCAGAGTTGTAGCAGATAATCAGGATTCTGCAGTATTTACTTGAAAACGCTCTGCCTACAAAATTGAAAGCAGCTTTAAATGTCTGAAGCAGCAGAAGGACAGGGAGCTTGGAAAAGTGAGCTTATTCTTGTCTGCACTGCTTCTCCATGCTGTTGTTGAACTCTTGCTTTATTGTTTACAAACAGGACACTGATAGCTCACACTAAAGCTCTGGATCCCTCTAGACCTGTAACATTTGTGTCTGCTACTAATTACGCTTTTGATCATGGTGTAAGTTTACTTTAATTTCTATCTTTTTTTATACTTCATATGTTAAATTTGTCCTCAGATCATTTCCAGTCCTTTCCCTTGGCAAATTTACTAAAGATATTTATGAAGAAGGGGTAGAAGAAAACTTACATTTTGGCTTCCAACACAAAGCCCTTTATACTGTAGTGGTAGGCCAGCTAAAAAAACCTGCAAAAGAACAGTTCTTGGTATTAAGTGGAATATGTAGAATCAGCCCCCTGGATTTTGTGAACATTGTGACAGTTGGCTGTCCCAGTTATTTTGTCTATTAATGCTCAGACTTCCATTTGTAATTAAACTAAAGCTTAAGCCCTTTAAAACCACTAACAGCCTTTATGGAAATCTAAAGAAGGAAACTTTGTCTTAAATTCCTTCTTTAAACTGCTCTAGTTAGTCTTTGGCAGATGTCTGTTAATACTGAATAGTCTAAAGGTGCTTCCAGCCCAAGTTGAGCTTCATAACTCAAGTCTTGTAGCTGTGTAATTAGCCAAAAGGTACTTGACTGACTGTGCTTTAAGCTGGCCAGAGCATGAATCAATGATCTGTAACACACACACAAAAAGATTTCAGTGGTAGTTCCCATGTCACTTTTAGTATTTTATAATAGTTCATGTTACTACTGTACAATAAGCACTCCAAGCAGGAGAGTTTGCAGGTTAGTACATACGTGGTATCACCACCTGTCCTTGCTACAAGTTATACTCTGTATTTCTTTGAAGCTGTCCTACAGTTAGCAGGAATGGCCTTCTGTAACTCCCACCTGTAGGAAAAAAACACCCTGGTGACCTTAGTTTCAAAGGTAATGAGCAAGTATTTGTTCTTGGACACTGCTGTTGCATCAGAGACACACACACACACACACACACACACACACACACACAGACTCTTCTCAACCCTACCAGCATATTCTGACCAGTTTGAGGATACACAAGGCAAACAAAACCAAAGAATAGATCTCGCACGCTGCTGTGATATTAGAACTTCTTTTTTATTACAAAACATGTTAAGAGAACATTGAACAAGTTACATACAACATCACTTCATCTTTAGTAGGCTTTGTGCCCTTTTATCATACTGTCCATGTGGTAGAAATGGCATATAACTTGCAGAATGCTTATTCTTAGTGTTGCACCATTGATGCACAAATTTAGTTGCCAGTCAAAATAATTGACTACTAACTTGACCGTCATATTCCAATACTCAGTAAGTATGTCTAATGTACCAGCAAGCCAGAGACATCTTGGAAACATTAAAACTTTTAACAAACCTAAGGATAAAATAGGTTAATCTTGTTTAACGTTTTTACTGTGGCTTAAAACTGTGAGGAAATGCCAAATTAATACACCAGTACCTTGTAAAATCTAACTTCTTTTAAATCTCCTTCATGGGAAACATGTCATGTTGGCAGGGCCAGAATGATAGGAGAAAAGGCTGAATTCCATGAAATGAACCAAAATGAGGGTTAGTTCACAAATGTTTGCATACATTGAGCTCTGTGACAAAACACTCCCACCTTGGTTTTCTTGTAGGCTCCTTATGTGGATGTAATCTGTGTGAACAGCTACCTCTCCTGGTACCATGACTCAGGCCATCTGGAAGTTATTCCACTGCAACTTACAGCACAGTTTGAGAACTGGTACAAAACCTACCAGAAACCCATCATCCAGAGTGAATATGGAGCTGACTCTATTCCTGGACTTCACAGTGTAAGTGTTAAATATCCTGAAGCCATTCTCTGCTTAGTTTTCCCCTAGGTATGCAGTTTTCAACAGCTCTGACTGCTAGTATAGCTGCACTCCATGTGAAATTTAAATAATAACACTTCTGTGTTTGGGTCCTAAACTACAGTGTGCTTTTCCCTTTATAATTAATCGTTCTGGCAATCAAGATATAGCTAACTGTCAACTTAAACTTACAGCATTTAAATCTCTCAAAGAAGATTTAAGTCTGAATCTGTACTTTGGCATTTGCAAGAAAATGCAACAGTGGGGAGTGGACATCCATGTCACAGCACCACTGCCCATAAGAAGGGATGGCACTCCTACACCTTTCACAATAAAGCACTGTTAGTAAAGCAAAACCACACACGTTCCCCGAGGTAAACCTGGCGTTACATTTTGTTTCCTCTCACAATTTCATTAGTTGTGAGTCTTTAGTAAAATAGCCATTGTTAATGCAGTGGCCATGAAACGATCAAACAATTGTAATTGCTGAGATTAACAGTTACCTTCATTTAAAGTCACCTCTTTTTCCTGGCTGTAGGATCCACCTGCTATGTTCAGTGAGGAGTATCAGAAAGCTTTGCTGAAAGAGTACCATTCTGTTTTTGACAAAAAGAGGAAAGAGTATGTGATTGGGGAACTCATCTGGAATTTTGCTGATTTCATGACTAATCAAGGTAAGCTTATATTTACATTCTGAATAACTTTGCATTCTCACTCCAAGCATAAATGGTTTATGACACATAGAATACTGTGTTGTAGAGTAGGACAAAGGAACCCTCTGCTTTTGGAGATGGAACACAGCTGGTTTCTGTGACAAAGTCCAGTGTGACTAAAGCCAGCAGGGAAGGTCCTTCTGGGCTTAATGCATTCTCTTTCTCCAGCTTGAGCTCCCAGCTGTTTCACCTGCCAAGATGCCAGCCAGAACATGGGAACATGGGACAGTGCAGGAGGGCAGAGCACAAGGGAAGCTTCTAAGCAGACACAGATTACATCTCTTTCTTGGCCTTCCTCAAGTCAGAGCTTCAGTTAGCTGTTAGGGAAGTGTCTCGCTTGCTTCATATTTCATCTGCTACTGCACTTAATAATGCAGCACCATAAATAAATGTATTATTAACTTGGTGTAGAGAGTTAGCAGTGGAGGGCCAGATACCCCAATGGTTGACAACGGCCTACTGTGACACTTAACCCACTGTTAATAGAAGGTAAATCATTTATGAAGTATGGGGCACTACAGTGTGCTCACACAAATCAAACTGCTGTAGCTCAGGACACCTAAAGAACCAATTGTGCATATGCCACCTACAGCAAGCTAGGGCAGTGAACTACCAGTGGTAATACAGGCAGATGATCACCATTTAAAATAATTTGTAGAGCACCAGCATAGGTATTCAAAAGCTTAGTTGTCAGAGAGAAGCAGTCAGCAAGGATCAAATAGGACAATAGAAAAACTCAGACAAACTTACATACACAGATGCAGTTCCAGTCTCTCTACATGTTGCAGTCACTAATTCTAGTTATCTATCAAGTCCAAAATAGGCAAAAAGGATGCGGGCACCACTAAGGGATAGAACAGCCAAACAATTAGTAACTGACATCTCCATCATCAAATTACAGGGTGGCATTAAGGGCAGAAGTAACTTCTGCTGAAGCTGCAATACTGATTGAGTTAATAGACATACCTGAATGAACTGTCATCAACTTCCAGCTGTAAATGCAATGAATTGCAGCTATACTGCTCTGTTCTATCAGTGATTCTTGCCCAGATCACACAAATTACCTTTGCCAAAATCCCTGCTGTATCTGACGTGTAGAAGGAAGTGCATAGGTCTCTCCCACTTAACCTGATTTAGAACATACATTGAAACAATTCACAATAGGGGACAGAAGAGCATTTTGTATATAACTGCTTTATTTTATAACTTCTCTACAGAGGTCACACGTGTTTTGGGGAACAAGAAAGGAATATTTACCCGCCAACGACAGCCCAAGTCAGCTGCATTTGTTCTGAGAGAAAGATACTGGAAGATTGCAAATGAATCAAGCTGTCTTCCTCCTATAATAAAATCACATATCCTCTTTCTATAATGAAATGAAAAGGCATTAACAGCTGGGTACTATGTTGAACTTTTTAATTAAATTCCTGTTTAAATAATATTTGTGCCTGACACAAGTCTTGCAAGTCTAATGCAATTTCTAGTCCACCTAAAGTAGTTACTATGACACAAAGCAGATCAGAAACATTAGTTTTACTATGCCCAGCCATGCCTGTAGGCTTCCTGTTTCCAGGTAGTAAAACAAATGTTCAGAGTTTCAAGGAGCTAAGTTAGACATCCTGACTGAGGTATCTGTTTATAGCAAAAAACGAAACAAAAATAATACAATAGAAATCAATGCAGAAGACTTCAAAAGTCCAAACTAGTCTAAGTGAGCATCAATTCCCTCTAATGCAAGTGAGGTTTTCCAGTTACACTTCCCTAACTGCTACCACTCAGCTCACAGCACGTCGTCCACGGGATCACTGACTACGTAACTTCTCTTGTTTAAAACTGGACAGAACACATGCAGCTGGCTGAGGAATTCTGAGTTAACAGCAACTCAGGAAGCGTGTGAACTGATAGTTCTATGAGGATACCCAACATACTCCAATACAGTATGGAATTCATACCACAGCAGCAAGGTGGAATATGTGGGATAGGTAGGTACTACATCAACTGAACTTTGTTTAGAGCTATTTAATCACAGTACCAGAACTGCCACAATTATATGCAGCTTTACCTTGCAGCATGAAGAGCTTCCTTCACGTTAAGTTTTCATTCTGCTCTACAGGAATAGAATTCTAGAGGGCAAATTCAATCTAAGCCTTTTTGATAAGGGCCTGAAGCACTCTGGAGTAGGATTATATGTAAGTTAATGTGTACGTAGGGAGTAATGTAGTATACTAACTTCCCTTTTAGGCTGCACACCAGTCTTAGAGGACTCTAAAGGCCAGACTTTAGGCTATAGTAAGTAGTGCCAGTACTCACAGAAGAGCCCAGATCTGCCAGCTTCTTACTGCAAGCTCGCAGGGTTGTCCCAGCAGCAGCATCACCCACAGCAGAACCACAGAAATAGGAGCTGCCCACTGAATTCTGGGACAATAGTTTCATTATCCCAGTTCACTGGTGCTGTGTGAACTTGTTGCTACGCCAACTTTTTCTGCACCTGGTCTTCTGCTCGTACCTCAAGAAAGAATGTGCTCGTGTTACGTGGTGGCCAACTTCTCATTCCTTTAGATGAGGCACATTAGAGCCCAACAACACTTTCCATTGCCACGTGCAGAATAAGCACATACATGTTAACTGCAGACTTGAAACCATTTCTACTTGAACCTCTAGGGGGAAAAGAAACAACATACTACCAGCGTTCATCGGTTTACAGACCTTGTCATTAACTAAAAACCCAGAATATAAAGGTCTATCAATATTAGAAAGACACTTGATCAGATGTAGCCTGACACAAGTGTGAATAGTGTATTCAAGCCCACTGCCACTGTTTGAAATCAGTGTCAACTTCTTACCCTCTAGATAATTTTTAAAAACCATTCTCCTCCCCATTTCAAGACAGTATGACATACCAACAGCTGCCACATCGAAATACAGATCAAGATTTGACATTGTTAGTGCATTAGAAACCAGGGCTGAGATAGCTACAATAAAGCTCAGGACTTATGGTTTCAGAAGAGAATGCTATCCTTTCATTCAGTCCAACCAAACATACGCCAAATTTAATATCCACATGTATGGAAAGCACACACTTCAGTTTCAGTTCCTGCTTGTTCTCAACAGCTCAGTACAACTGTAACCTCAAAACCCACCTATCCAAGCCTTCCTCCCAAAGCTCCCATCCTCTCTGCTCCCCGCCATCCCTGTCCCCCCAGATCCACAAAAATAAATAGCAGTTTCCAGACACTCCGTCATTTTGTCAGAGTGGAGTTAAAACTCCTGAAGAACCAGGGAAAGAAGGAACTAATTAACACACTTAACGTTTTTTTTGCTTGTTACTGAAAGAACTGTAAACAGTAAAGCCTCAATGCTGCTCAACCGTTATACACTCATGTGCACACAACATTCAGCAAGACGCAACGAAGCCGCAGTTCTATACGAGGGTATTCTCTGAGGACCCAAGTGCTTTAACCCTTCTACTGCTAGCATACAATTGCTTTGAAAGAGATCACAACTTGGTACATTTGGAGAAAGGAAATTACAGTACTGACTTTAAAAACAGTTTCTAAGGCTCAGACTGAGTCCAAAAAGGCCTCTGATTGGGTTCATTCAAGCTCTTATGTTCGGACTGCATGAATGCAGCATAAGAATGATTGCAGCAAGACATCCACAGGTAATTTCTACATTTATTTTTTTTTTTTAATACCAAAAAGTTATGTGCAACAAATAGAATTCATACATATTTACATTGTTTTACCTGTTAGCAAAATCTTATCCTAAGCCTGCAATAAGAGAATCTCTCCATCTATATATTGATAAAAGGAACATCTGCCCAATGTCTCCATTTAAAGGGATGTTTAGTTTAGAGTTTAAAGCACTGGTGATAAATAGTTGATGGAACACACTATACAGAATACACACCTAATATTTAGGCCATGCTTAATACAGTTTTATGGTAACAGAATACTTCACCTTTTCTGGACCAGTTTTGTCTAGATCACGTTTAAACAATGTTGGCAGATCTGAAGTTATTAGATCTCTCCTTAACTTTAACCAATATAAATTAGGAGACCCAAGCGCTGCCCAAAGCACCTCACCAATCTCTCTGAACAATCAGCAGAGGCACAGCAGAAGACAAACGCGTTCTGCAGGATGTTGAAATCTCCCGATAAGAGACTCGCTGTCACTTCAGATATCGGAGGTGGCAGGAATGTTTTGTTGGCCTTCCTTAGCACTGCAAACGCTTTGCAGTAAGAAAGTTCCAAGAACACTCATTTCCTAAACAAGACTTGAATGCTTCATTGGCCTTAAGAGTTTCAAGTACCTTACAGTAAGAGGATTTCAGGAATGTTTACTTCCTAAACAGCTTTTGGGATGAAGTTGTTCTTCCTTGAATCTGCCCCTCCCTGCAGGGCTTCTGAGAGCCAGGGAGGGCTGAGGGCAACGGCCCAAATTCATAACTACCGTATCTTAATTTTTCCCCCCTCCATTATGATGGGGTTGAAGCCACAACCAGCATCTGCGTAATGACTCGCTCTCCCCTTGTCCCTTTGCCAGACCAAGTATTATTAACAAGCACTTAAGTGTACTACTGTATCCTCAGAACTTCCCTTCTTTTGTAAATGGCAAATTCATATCGATCACACCTTTGCTGGGACACTTGTTCTGGCTGAGGGTGGCAGACAGGGGAACGGTTGCACGAAGCACTCCTCTGATTTCTATCACAATACTAATGGCAATCTGAGCCATTTTACTGGAAGAAATACGATGTTGCTATCCTTGGTAGCAGTGAGAAAAAAGTCAAAGATCTGGATGCAAAAAGGTCCAAATTTCTACTGCTAATATTAACTCTGCCCTTTATTCAGGCCAACTGCATTTCTGAAGCACGAGAAAGTAGAAGAGTTAGGGCCATTTCTAGCAAATCACTTCCAGTAAAAAGGAACTGCAAGAGAAGCACACAAGACAGGAGAGTTCACAATTAGGACCAGATTTGCAAGATTGTGCACAAAATACAGCGGCAAATTCTTCCAGAGACCAAACAGATTTCTCATTTGACCTCAATGTGCACACAGACACAAACTGCAGACAGGACTGCTGAAAATCTGGCCCTAAACAATTTTACTAAACAAACTGAATTAACAGACTATGCCCACACAGACAAGCACAAGACACAGCGAGTTAGTCAACACCTATACTTTCTGCTGATGGGGCTTTTTTCCTTTTTCTTCTTCCCCTTGGGTGTGCATGACACCCCAAATTGGACCAAGTAATCACTGATTACACTTGTCTCCGCTGCTGCTTGCTCTGAGCTATCAGCACTGCAGCTGACCGTGTCAGGCAGCACACGTTCACCTCTTCCTCCAGTGAAAAGATGCGTTAGTGTGAATCACAGGAATGCACCGAAATAAATCCATACAACATCTGAACCAGGGATGCTGGTGATGCTGCCTCGAGGCTTCTAAGAGAACAGAGGAGAGCCTTGAGGGACCAGTTCAGCATCATTCACTCCCCTCACGTCAGAGTTCAAGGCATTTGAGAGACAGAACTAAACATCAAGACAAGCTTTAACTATACTCTGGTCAATACAAAATGCATTTAATGAATTGTCTAAAACCGTTAGACAAGAGGGACAAGAAATTTAGTGTTACATGCAACAGATGTTACTCATACCACAGAACTCTATACACAGAAGCAGTTTCCACCTACATCCTTGATACAAACCAGAAAATTACTTCAGTAGCAAATACTATTTTGTGAATTCAACCTAAAAATTCTATTTTCTCTACTGAATACTGTATGTTTCACAGTCAAGTTCATCCTCAGCAACTTAGTGTTTGTAATCCACTTAGCCATACAACGTAAGTGTCTTTCTGACATTCATGTTTAAGAAACAATCCTAAGATTAGTTAAACTAATTCTTTAACTAAACAGGTATGCAGTTGGAATTCTTTGTATTTAGAAGCTGACAAGGGCAAAAAGCAGCACAGCACCAATTACAGAACGTAGCTGAATATTCTGGTGTCACAGAGTTCCAAACACAAGCATTTCACTTTTCCAAATGACATCACCGACTTCCTATCACATTGGTTCAGTATTGCTACCACTTCTCAGTCTAAAAACTAAAATAGGTTTCTTAATTCTTTTCTACGTCCAGCAAATTTGCTGGGGCTTTTGTTTGTTTGCTCACTTTTAAAGCAAGGACACTTCTGTCTGCCAAGTTCAACACTAAGTATTTGGTTTAAGATTTTAAGACAGAAGGCACTTTTAACATTCAGCTTTAGAATACTGCGAGCAGAAACAGCATTACAATTTTGTTCCTTTGTTTAAATCTGCAGTTTTTTTTTTTTTTAATTAGTTATTAGAAAGAGCAATGATAGCACTGCATCAAATTTCAATTTCAGGAGCACTTTTACTTATCCCACAAAACAGACTGCCTTTCCAAAGGATCCTGTGTGTGTCAGGCCTAAAGTTCACTTCCCAACATAGCACAAACCAAAGATCCTGACAAAGATCAATTCAGTATCTGCTCATTCGGTTGCACTACTTGGTTCTCCCGCTCTCTCAGTGGTTTCCACTGCAGATTGCAATCCTACGCTGCAGCATTCATAGAACACCAAACGTGAGTAACGCTGCCTGTCTGACCGCAATTTAAAATGAAGCGCTGCGTGGAACAAGAGCGCTCTGCTACACCAAGAGCCCACACTGTATCTCACATCCTGCTGGTAACTTTCTATCGACCACATTGAGCTGTTTTCATTCTGTACAGAAATGAATGAAATTGTGGTTTGATGAACATACTTCAGGTTTCAGCTTTAATTCCATTTTCAGGAGGGAACAGGAGAAATGGAACAAAACCCAACCGTCATTTCTGTGAAAGCACCAGCAGTGAGTGCCCCAACAAGGTGCTCTACAGAGGTCACTTCTTCCATCACGTCAGTTGACTGTTAGCTGAACACTCCAAAAGCTCCTAGGCTAACAAAACTGATTGTACAGTGAGTTCTCCAGGGATGAAACCAAGATTTCTAAGTTTATTTACAGTATAAGTCCTAATCAAATCTAAGTCCATCAGCTAAAAAAAAAATAAAAAAAAAATGTAATACACAGACTGTAAACATGGCAACATTAAATATCATAATGCTATTCTAGAATATTTAATGTCATGATCACATCTCGTTATACCTGAATTTATATACAGGATATTTTATAGCAAGTGTTGCCCACTTTACAAGTGGAGGGGGAGGAGAGAGTCTAGGTTCTGCTGTGGCTAGAACTCCTTCAAAGTAAAGTTAAAGCTTGTCTTTGATTGCTTTACAGCTTTCTTTCACAACCACATTTAAATTGAAGATTAGCACAAAAAAAAAAAATTATCTAGGGCCCCTTCCAATTTCTAATTAAAAATTCAGTTATGAATCTCAGGGAAAGCGTCTGATATGGAGAATAAAAAATTACTGCAAAATAAACTTAATGGAAGTTGGGTCTTCAGGCTGTCAGTCACAAGTTCGAACAGGCGCTACTCCTGTTTGGGTTGGAGTTGCCGTTTCCAGGCCTCGTTCAAATAAACTAGTCGTTTGTAGTTGATGATAAAGAGAATGAAGTTCAGCAAATATGTGATGACGCAGACAATGCAAAATTCCTTCAGCACGAAGTACAGAATGTACGCCAAGTACAAAGACCCTACTACAGACACTATGGAGGATGTCATGAGGATTAGAGCTGCTACTGCACTTGCTGTCATACCTGCAACAAGAGAGAAAGAGTTACTACTGCTGCTCTCCTTCCACCTGACACAAAGCACAAAGCCTAGGCACTGCAGTTCCAACTCAAGGCTGCTCAGCAAGTCTGCATTACATAAAAGTCGGTTTTGTGTACCATGAGTTCAAGATGGCTGACAAATCACTATTGGGAGAGAGCTTCTAGGTTCTGTACAACAATCCTTTGATAAGCAGTATTTAGCATCTTCCATAGTCCTGAATTATGGGAAAATTACAGGTTGGTCAAGGTATGGCTGCCCGCATAAACAGCCACAGCACACTGCAGTTACAAAGCCATGCACGCGTTATCACATCACATGCTGTCCATATTACTCCTGCAAAACTTCTAAATTCAATTTTTGTCTCCTCTCTTTTCTACCCTGCAATCCAATGCTAAGCACATTTGAGTAAAAATACCAATGCAACAACTGTCTTCATGCTTTACATTGTTAATAACAGCAGGAGAAAATAAGATTGCTCTCATTAGCATTTGGGCTTTTAAGCCCTTTGCACAGACGTAGCATAAGACTGCTAAAAAGAAACCCCTTGCATTTTATCTGGTCTCTCACAGACTGCAATGCATAACAGGCTCCTCTTATCACCACAGACCTGATATATAAACTGAATTAATACTCACCAAGTAGCATTTGTAGTATATAAAACACAAGTCCAAAAACACTGTTGGACTGATTTATTGCACTGTCCTTCCCAAAGATGGAACCCAACAGACCGAATCCTCGACCCCATCTGCAAAACAATGAAACATTAAATTGTACATAGGCACCTATTGCTTTGCATCAGTATTTTCAACTGATCATTGTTGGGGAAAAAGAAATTAATTAGTTACATATGGTTCGATGTGACACGGCAGCCCGTATGAGGATCAGGGCACCTCCGGGCAGCACGCAGCTTGCAATAGGCTGTGCTCCAGGTACAACTTTATCCACACACTGCTGATGAAAGTTATTTGATACACCCAGAGCTACGAAGCTCACACAGCTGCAGCTTCACCAAACACCAGGTCTGCTTCCCTGGGTTGTAATTCAAAGCTCATTTACCAAATAAATACTTTTCTTTAGTATTTACTTTAGTTCTTTAGCAGTTTGCTCTACTACAAGAGTAGTAGACGGATGCTCCCTAAATCTACAGTAATTAACCTAGTGTGCTACATCTGTGCCAACAGAAGGGCAGTTTCTGCATCCACACAAAGCAAAGTTTGCTCTCCACATGCTACAACACTGCTGATGCAGATCACCACAGATCTGACACCAGTGCAAGGCTACCATCACAGCTTCCTACATGAGAAAGATGCCACAATAAACACCTCCAACAGACTGCATCACCTCACAGCCATTTGTGCAATGTTTTCAAAGCACAAGCAAATGTAGCATTTTAATTCAAGCTTAATAACTGTCCTGTGTGTTTCTTTCCAAGAATTATGCTCTGATTCCTGGAAGTGTTCTTACTGCACACATGGAAAAAAGGAAGGACATCAAACTTTTGGTCTTGAGTCCTGTAAATGACTGAAGTGAAACCTCTGCATCAATTGAAAGCTCCAATCCAGTATAGAAAAGACTAAATGCTCTGATCCTAGGGTTGTTTTGGAAGTCAATAAATTGTTGCTAATGGAAAGATAATGAGTTCAAGCCCTGCACAACAGTCAGTGTCCCCACATGATGTGTCCAGAGCCACAAGAAGGTCACAGTGTGGTGAAGGCTTTAACCACATACACAAGTTTGTTAAGGACCTCGTTGGCCCTGTGGCAACTTTAAGGACATCATTTATTGCATTCCAGTCCGCAGAGTTCAGCTCCAATCTCATCCCACACAACTTCAGGTGGCTGGGAAGCCTGCACTTTAAGACACACAGCTTGATGAGGTTGAAATTGTGAGGAAGTTCTGCTAAAGTTTTCTACTGTAGAGTCTCAATCGTTCCCTTATTCCCACACAGAGCTCCTAAAAGCTGCCAAAACGTACAATGAACCAAGTCAGTTTGCAAGCAGCCTGAGCAGAGATTAAGATAAAACCTTCCTTCTCACACCTAAATCACAGCCACCACCCCTGATTTGTGTGTGATAACCAAAAGCCTAAAAGCGTGCAGAAAATGTAACAAAGGAACAGACTGCAGTATTCACAGGGGGGGGAAAAGAAATAAAACATCAATAAAAGTTTAACGAAGAACAAAGGTTACAAATTACTCAGAGTTCTCGGGGGAACTCATCTTTCTTAGAAGGCCTCTAATTTCTAAGAGCTGACTATTGGTTAACTCCAATTTTTTATTGGAGTGAGCTGCAGTGCACTGATTGCAGTTTGCACAGCAGGCTGAAACCACAGATGTACGCTGGTGACTTCCTGCTGGCACTGCCCAGGCCCTGCAGCACCCATGGGCTCTGCTGGGGAAACAAGGCTGAAGCCCGCCCGTGTGATTCACGGCAGTATGATGAGCACACACAGTAAGCCTGCTTCTACCACACCCAACTTTAACTGCTGTTACAAAGGAAAACAAACCTCACACCGATCTGAATCGACCTCAAGGAAGTCCTAAGGCAGACCTTGAGGACGTCTTGCTGTTTCATCTAGCCCTGATCGCAGCTCCATCCATACAGCCTGCTTCATGTTTCATTTGCAGTTATAACTTTGAAAGCTCTCAAAAACATCCCCTATCTTTCAGAACACAGATCCAAGAAAACCAAGACAAAGCCACGTTCGCGTGGTTTCCCAACATATAAAACTGAATACGACAGTGATTTTTACTCACAGTCTACATTCCTTCTATCAAAAGTCTTGAAAGTCATTATCTCCTCTCTAAACAGTGCCCTTTTTGCTTTCTGACATTGACAGAGCTCAGAAGCATTGCATCGCTTTGAAAGTTTAAAACAATATTTCTATGCATTTGATGCTGCTTCTTGTGTTCCTCAGAGCTAAGGTCATCCTGATCCACTAGTGACATACCTCCACGTAATCAGGTACTGTTCAATCTTTACCTCTTTTGCACAATTCAACATCCTCTGCGATCCAGAACAAGAAAAGCACTTCCACACTAAAGATTCCACTGCAGTTGAGCAGACAACACCACTGGCAGAAAGGCAGTCACAAGGCTGAGATGCTGCTGTACTGCATGGAGTTCACCTTAAAGCACAACCAACCTCCATGCTGACCGTTCAGTCTCAGTGGCATCCACACCCTGGGCAGCCTTGCTGGATGTACCCAACCCACCCTGAGTGCATCCCACTGTGACATCCTCCAGCAACGAGTTCCCACATCACCTCAGTTCCACTTGGCAGCCCTTCGCTCTCGTGACAGGAGAGGAACCAAGCGCCGTATGCTCATGTTAGCATATAGACAATAAAACCAGCCTAGGTCAGGTGAAACCCAGCCGGCTCCAACACCACGTCCCTGTCATTGGAGCAGCAGGTGCCCAGAATAGGGCACACACACTCCCACAGCTGATATTCTCCCAAATACCTTCTTGAAAATGCCATCACACCTCTGGGGGCCCAGATTATCAAATGACACGGGTACGTGAAAACCTGGGAACGTGGAGATTGGTGCAGCAGCAGCAGGTGTTCCCAGCACTGTTCTCTCCCAGTGTTTGGGTTAGCTGTAATGAGAAGGGCAAACAGGAACGAGCAAACCAATGCTATTTTCAGAGAACTTTGACTAAAGAACCTAAATTCTGTTTTTTGAGTCATACCACCTCATTTAAATCCAGGTTTGTTTTTTCCGTCCCATACACATTATTCAGCTATCAACATCAAATACCATTTCATCATTTGTAATCCCGTGGAAGCAATTCAGATCATTTACTAGGGAAAAAAAGTAATCCTATACTTCACAAGCAATACGTTCACTTCCTTAAATGCCATCTGACCTCTGAGATAAGTGACAGCACAGAGTGAAAGCTCCAACGAGAGGAGCAGGGCTGCCCTGTGCTCACACCTCACCTTCAGCCAAAAGCTGATGTAAAGGTCAAAGGATATGGAGCATTTTAATGCCGAGCAACGGTAAGAAACTCTGGTGCAGCTTCTTTACAGCCTCACTAGAGGATTTTGAATTAAGCCCAGTTTGTTGTTACAAGGTCATTCAGGCCACTCTAATAGTTTTAATAAATTAAGTAAAAGCCTCTAATTAAAAGCCACAAGTAAGGAGATTAAAAATTCCTATTTGTAAGCTTGCCAGGAGTGCTCCAAAATCTTGATAGTTCATTTCACGTTTAAATCTATCAGCCATATTTACCATCATCAATTCAGACTTCGTTCTATATATCCTTCAGCTCCTTCAGTGTCACAAAGATGATCCAGAAAACCTCAGCATCCAGATGAGCCCAACCCTGAGCACTTAACGACCTGCTAGCAGACTGCACAGAAGCACTGGTTATTCACATTACAAGCCAACAGCAACACATGCCTTCTTCATAACCTCTTTTCTGTAACTACCATCAGGGAAGCCCAAAACTGAACGATGGGCACTTTGTTTTATGGCATCACACAAAACTATTCTCATCCGATTGCAAATTCTAGTCAAGCCAGAAATAATGTATTTGAAGAGATGTCTGCTGAGCAGTGGAGCTCGGATGGCTGTAAGGCTGGGAAGAGGACACACACAGCTGGGGTGCTTCACAGATGTGCCCCCACCAAGGCACATCACACCAGCCTCAGTGTGAAGTCATCAATTTTACACTCAAGCACGAGGTGAAATTCACTTCACCGTCAGTTTCTGGGGCTCTGGATGAAGGCAGCTTTCTGCAGCAGTCCTGCAGCACATAGAAGCCCTGCAGCCCTTCCCAGCTCGTATCCTCCAGCCTCACCCAGGAGAATCCAGCACGCACCACTCCCAGTGGAGCCCTGTTTGCACTCACAACCCTTCAGCAGTTCAAACAAACTTATCTTTTTCCTATGCAGAATCAAAGATGCCTGATAAAAACAATGATGTGGCTCAGATTAAAGAAATTACTAACTAACAAAGATGCACAAGAGCACAAAAAGTGTCCAGGAGTGACCAGGCAACCACAACACTACCTGTACCATCTCTGACCACGGTCACTAACAGCTGCAGCTGTCAACTTCAAACATACTGAAACATTTGCTTGTAGGTACAGCAACAGAAAGACAACAGGGACCTGCATTAAAAGGAAAGATGCAGCAGTGCAGTTGGACTCAGGGATCACAGCACCGAAGTTCTACGTCACGAGACAGCAAACCAACACCTCACACATCAGCATGAAGTTCCAGACAGGGAACTCCTGAACGTCATCTATCAAATTATGAACAGACAAACACCGATTCTTAAAATCTTGCTTTGACCCTGACATTTCTTCAGTAAGTTGGCTAAAGGTGTCAGTGCAGACAAATACTGTTTCCAACTCCCCTGCACCGCTGGTTGAAAGCTACAGGGGCTGCTGAAGATACACAGTGACGTGTCATCATTCATGCCACTTATCCTAGGGCTGTATTAAAGCTGTTACAGCATAACATATTCTGGACTACAATGCTTCTTTCAATAAAAGCCATCCACTAGTTTGCTGTGCCCTGCAGGCGCCTTAAATGGATGAAGAGAACGCAGAATCATGTCACAGAACCAAACCTCCCATGGCACACCAAAAGAGCAAAGCAAGGAGCCCAGCATCTCCATTGCTACTTAAATGCTGTGTTTCACTTCTAGCCCTACCACTATCCACACAACTTGTCTATTAGTTTAATTTCCTCTGTGAAACTATTATACCAAGAAAAAGGAAAAGATCCATCAGGAGCTGCTACCAGCCAACTTCATTATAAGTAAAGCCAATCTTGCCACTTCATTTTTCTCAAACACAAGAGGGCAATTCACTTAAAACATCCACAGCAACTGCCAAATGAAAGCATTTCTATTTCCCTATGTCTTATCACTGCTTGGATAACAGCAGTGACCACTATACAGTCCACAGCTGTTTTTCTTTCCAAACCATCTCATGAACTTTCCCCAATGATAAAAGCCTGAGACCAGAAGCATTCGGAACAATAAGGGACACTTATTAAAGCTCTCTCTCCACTATAATCTTCTGCATGAGTCAGTCTCTGATAGAAGATTTCCCATGCTCCTCCCTCTGCATGCTGCTAATCTTCACAACATCTTTCCTCATTCTTGTGCCAATGCCAGATTTGGCTCAGAAACGAGAGTTGGGAATAATAACAGCTTATTAGTGGAAAAAATCCTCCCCAGTGGCCAGGATTGAGTTCCAAAACAACTGAATTCAAAGAAAAACATGCTAACTTATTCCAATTATCCTATACAATTAATATGAACACCGATACCATGACTGTGCTTTTTCAAGTTCCACCCTCTGCTGGAACCATCACTGGAAATGGGACGATTCAGACCTTCCAAGTCCCATTACTCCCATCAGCAAACCTGCCTTAAGTCACACAACTGGAGGAAGCCTCTGGAAGCTGTGCATGCACCCCTCTAACTGTGCAGAAACAAATTGCAGTGACAAATCACACGACTGGCTGTGCAACTGCCACCGAGATGCTTCATGAAAAGAGCTCGGAGTTACGCGCTGCGCACGAGAAAGCTGGAACCTGAAATCCCATTATCCAGGTGAAGTCTGAATTGCAGTCTGAATTTCCTCCTAGGAATGAAGTTTCTTTGAAACCTCCGTGATGCGTGGTAGCAACGAGAGGCACTGCATCGGAGGGGGAGAGCGACTGATGGAAGGGACGCTGTGGCAACACGGAGAATAAGATTAATTTCTTCCACTGTTATTCCTCCTTCAAAGGTTAACAGCCTGCCCTCCTGCCTCGATTTTAAAGGAATATTCCTTTCTGGTCTGTGGCCGTATACAGCTGAAAGCACATTCCTCTCCAAATATGGTTTGACAGCACAGAACTCGTATGCTCCTTCTCCACAAACTCTTCTTGCCACCTGCTTCCATTACCATAAGCTATCCTGACATTTGCAATACTTCAGTCGCTAAGCAGGGTTCTCCTAGCAACTGCTGGGGAGATTTCTAGTGAGAGCTCCGTGGATTTTATCCCCAAACACTCATATCATCATTTAAAACTCCTGCAGTAAAGCACTGACAGGTCTTACCACGGCACACACAGCATCTCTGCTGCGGCATTACTAACGAATGCTATAATTACCCAGCATTATTCTCTAATTATATCTTTAGATATTTCTAATTATAACCATTTTGCTTTTTCAAAGCGCTCGGTAAACACACATTTAAACTGCTGTTTGAAACTCCCCATCTCAAGAGCACTCCTTACAATAACAACAACAATCCCTGAAGGACCAATATCAGAAAAGACCACAGCAGAGGCTGCTCAGGCACTGAAATCCCCATTATTCTCTTTTCACCTCGATGGTGGTGGCGAATTACTGACAACACTCACACAGTTTAACCTCAGCAGCCCGTGCATAATGTTAAGTTATAATTTAAGTTATTAGGAAAGTGTATTGAAGTCCTCTTTCTGTTTAGGTTGAAATTGCTCATGTTAGGACCCCTCTGAAGCAGCACCATGAACTACCACCTTCACAAATTAAACACTATCCACAGAATGAAAGGCAAAGGCACTCAACCACAGGAGTCTCCTTTCAGACAGCAGCAGACAAATGTCTCTGTAACTTAACACACAAACCAGCACCTCAGAACTGATTCCAGCAGTAGGATTTCCACATTTGTTTCATCTAAACAAACCAACCAGCTTCCACCTCGGCAGGTCAATCACATCTCCTCACCCATGACTTTGTTATGGCAATACCTTTGTATGGAGTGGGACAACTGGAAGCAAAAAGAAACCACAAAAACCCAAATAATGCTTAAGGACTCATTCGACTGAAGGTGCAATAGAACCCAAAGTCCCCCATTCTCAGCTGCTTACCCGTGTACGTGCTTGCATGTCTTTGCACGCACACAGAGCAGTTTGTAGAGCTCTGCACAGTCATGTCTCCAGCTGAAGCACACAGATGAGGCTATAAGGCAGACGGCAGCTGTACTTCCTGCAGCACATCGTCACCCAGCAGTGATGCACCGAGCAGGCTGAGTCCCTGCACTGCTATCAGCCTTCAGAAAGCAGCTGCCACGTTGATTACTAACGGGAAGCCTACAGGATAAGCCAAGCCGCGAGTAGGGCTTTTGCTGCTGTGGCGAACCTCTCCTAACGAAGCCCTCACTATGCAGGCAGACACCCGTAACGCCGCGATGAACCAGCAATTCGGAATGCCCGTTACAGCAGCCCGCCATCAGCCTCCCGCACCGCACGCTGCTATGCGGGCCGGCCCGCCTCGCACCCACAGCACCCCTTCCTCATCCTCATCCTCATCCTGAATCTCCTCAGCCCGTGGCTCCCAGCCCCTCCAACTCCCAGCTATGCCCTCCCTGAGCCGCAGCTCCGGCCCCCCCCCCCCCGCCCGTTCTCCCCCCCCGCTGCCGGCGGCCGCTCTCCGCTCTCCCGCTCTCCTCCTCACCTGGAGGTGATGGCGGCGGAGCAGCGAACCCTCTCGCTAAGGTCGCACAAGGCCTGGTAGTGGAGATCGCGGCCCTTCTCCCGCTCCAGGTGACAGGCGTAGAGGGACAGCAGGATGCCGGCCGCGCACACGGCGGATCGGGCCACCCGCTCCCAGCGCGGCACCGACACTCGCAGCAGGACGGGCGCCGCCATCTTACCCCCTCCCTCCGCCTCAGCCCGCGACGCGCGCCCGGCGCCCACCGGCAGCGCACGCGCGCCCTCACCCCATTGGCTCTCCGAGAGGCCACGCCCCCTTCTGGCCGCGCCGGACGTGGCGCTCCGCGACGACGTCACGTAAGGTCGGGTGGGAGAGAAGGCGTGGAGTGGGCGCCGCCGGAGGGCTGCGCCGGCGGCGGGGCGGGGCGCCCCCTGTCGGTCGGAGGGGAGCACTGCGGGCCCGGCAACGTCCGCCGCTTTGGGCCGGAGGAGCCCGTTTCCTTCCTCCTCCTCACGGCCGTGCTGAGGCTCGCAGAGCTCACAGCGTTCACCGTGGGACGCACGCTTTGATCCGCTCGTTCTCCTTCCTTTCCCGTTTCTTTACACCTCTCGTTAGCTGATGGAAGAGTGAATCCGTGTAAAAGCAACCTTCTGCAAGTTTTCCCAAGGAAAGCAGGATGAGACGACACAATGGCAGCATTCATGCCCCGAGTTCTGCCATCCGTGACAGCATTGTTCTGGCAAACAAAGCGAATTCCAAAAGAAACCCGTTGCAAAGGGACGAACCCTTCTGCCAACAGAAACAGAAGGAAATTGAAAACTATTAATCAAAAAGGAGTTGAGAAAATGTTAATAAAAAAGGGTTGTTTGAACCCCGACATCCCACATCAGATACGCTGCTATCACAGCCAACTTACATCCCTTGTATACAGGATGTTGAAGCAACCAGTTTGATGGGACAACTGCTCTTGCACAGCTGAAGATAATGCAGACAAGGCCCTTTTTATGTTGTGCCATCAACTGTATAACCACAGAATCATAGAGCCACTGAATTACTTGAGCTGGAAGGGACCTTTAAAGGTCTGCTCCAACTGCGCTGCAGTGAATGGGGGCAATAAGCACGGCGTGGCAGTGGCATGCTGCGCTGTGTTTGTGTATGTTGTAAGAATGAGAGGCAGTTAGAATGGGAAAATAAAGTGGTTTAAGTGCCTCTTCCTGTTTAGGTTATCAGAGAGCTTATTAACTCATTAGGTATAATCTCATGCAGACTGGTCACTTGGGATCATTTCCATTATTGTCTGTAGGTTAGGTACTAAAAATATTAAAAACCCAGACAAGTTCCGTGCTGCATTAATTAATTAATTAATGCATTGATGCTGTGGGTGCAGCAGCTTCGCAGCACGGCAGCGAGCTGTGGGACTGTGCTTTAATTGTACTCCTATGGAATGACTTTTGTCTTTCTTACAACTCTTATTAAATGGTTCACACTTTTCTGAAGCTCTGCTAAGGTTAAGAGCTGGCAGCAAGTTTCCAAAACAAGCTGCGTTTTGTCTAAAGCATCCTCTCCTTCGAACCCAGTAGGATCAGCGCCTCGGGCGGGAAGGATGGGGGCGTGACCACAGCAAGCCCCGCCCCTCGCTGCAGCGGAAGTGGCACACGGTGCACGGCGGAAGTGACGCAGCGCGCGGCGGGTGTCTGTTGACCTTCAGCGGCGCGGCTCGGCGCGGTTACATTTTGTCCCGGTTCCTTTCCCGCTTGCCGCCATGCCGAGAGGGGGACGCAGCCGCTCGTCCCGCGTTGCGCCGCCCGCCAGGTGAGCGCTGTTGGGCCTTCTACTTTCCGGCCCTTTTCTCGGGTCCCCGCCCCAGGGCCGTGTAGGCCGCAGAGGCCTCGCAGCCGTGTCGGGGTGGGTGACGCAGAGGGGTCGTGCGCTGCTCGGGGCTCTGGAGCGGGGTGGGCGCTTTGCTGGGTGGAGGGGATCGGTTCCCTGTAGCATTAAGGCCGTGTTTAAGCAGCCCCTTCCGGGTCGGGCCTCGTTGCCCATAACGTGCTACTGGGATGGGGATGTGCTGGCCTTTAAAAAAAAAAAAAAAAAAGCTGCAAAGCTCCTGCGGTGTGTAAAACAAAACTGCCTGGAACGCCGTGTCCTTGCCATCTGAACGTGGGGTCACGCGAGGAGGAATTGCCAGTGTTTGCTCTCTGAGGCCTCAGCCCTTCAGAGCAGGAATGTGAGCTCTCTGTCCTCGCAGCCGGGCGCCGCAGATGAGAGCAGCACCGCCAGCCCCTGCACCAGCACCCGCCTCTGCCGTGGCTGCTCCTGCCCCAAAACAGCCCGGGCTGATGGCGCAGATGGCCACGACGGCAGCAGGAGTCGCTGTGGGCTCTGCTGTGGGGCACACCATCGGTCACGCACTTACCGGAGGCTTTGGTGGAGGAAGCAGCGCTGAGGCTGCCAGGCCTGACATTACTTACCAGGTAAGGGAAGGCACGGCTGGGTGCTGACTCCTGAGGTGGGGTTAACTGGAGAGGATAGATGTGTATAGGCTGAAGTAATTGCTACAGCCTTAAAAACTGCACAAGTTCTGGCTAGGAATTCTAAAGCAACTTTCTTGACTCGGTCTCCAAATTGAAGTAGTTCAAAGGGTCGCACATGTTGCAGTGCACACAGCTGTGTTCCAGTACCCTTGATTTCACAGGGGACTTCCATGTTCCAGGTCTGATAATGATAAGATCTATTGCAAGATTTTTGTCCTGCAGTCACCTCTTGTGCTGCTGAGACATCAGTATGGTGCTATTGCCTTGCTCGGGTATTATCCAGAGTTACTTAAGTGTGTGTAACCTGCACAACTGCTCAGAATGCCTCATGTCATCACTGGAGACTTTGTACTTTCCATTTAAGAGGTAATGTGCTATGACAAAAATGCAGGGAAGAAGTGCACAGAAAGCAGCGTAGGGGTGGCATGGCTTCATGGGTGGAGCAGGTGTGGGGGTGCTTACAGTGGTGTCTGCTGTTTCAGGAACCCCAGGCCGCTCAGCCTGCTTACCAGCAGCAGCAGCAGCAGTTTGCTCCTTGCCAGTATGAAATGAAGCAGTTCCTGGAGTGTGCCCAGAACCAGACTGACCTCAAGCTGTGCGAGGGCTTCAGTGAAGTGCTGAAGCAGTGCAGGTTTGCTAATGGTAAGCAGACAGCAGTACCAGCCAAGTGTGCTGATGTGGGAGGACAAGGAACTGCCAAACACGGGGGTCTGGACTGCTGAATCTTCAGCACCTGTCAGCAAATGCTGGGGGGGTGAGGGGGAACATCTTAGTCTGTGTCTGCCTTATAGCAGGGATGATGGAATGGTTTGAGATGGAAGGGACCCCCAGAGGCCATCTGGTCCCACTGCTGCAGTGCACAGGGACACCCACAGCTCCATCAGTGCTCACGGCCCTCCAGCCTGAGCTGGGGGTGTGCAGGGATGGCACCATCCCCCTCTGGGTCTAAAACTTCACGTGATTAACTGTTGTAACTTCTTATCTTACAGGTTTAGCTTAAGCCTCCAGACCAAGGCTGCTGAAGACCACTTTACAAGAACTGACCTATGAATGAAAAAGCTCTGCTAATAGTCTAAAGCTGTCTGATATCTTGTTAGTTTCGTGTAGTCACACTGTTGTCTTTGTGGCTTCATTTCTGCCATAGCCTCTACAGCTGTGATACAACTGCAAACTAATTGAACACACAGTGGAAAAAATGATCAATAAAATGGAATGAGTTGATTAGGGCTAACTATTTTGTTTCTTTAATTGTTGTGCTGAATGTGAGTGATGTGGCGTACAAATAAACTCTGGAGGTACCTTGCTCTGGTGGGTTTTGGACTGCTGGGTGAGTTGAGGATTGAAGGTGAGCAGGCATGAAGTGATTTTAGCAGGCTGAGCGCGCTTGTCAGTTCTGCTGGCATGAAAAATGCCTGCAGGGCTGGAGGTGCAGCACAGCAGGAACAGCCTTGGCTCGGGGCTTGGACTGACATTTCCTGGAGTATCTGAACCCCAGGGGCAACTTCTGCTTATTACAGTGTGCTGAGGAGGGAGGTTAGGGCTGATTTTGCAATGCTCTGCGTGCAGCAGCTCAGCCTGCAACCAATCACAGTTCTGACTACAGCTTCTGTATTCAGTTTCAAGAGGCTGAGAAATGCCATCCCTCTACTTGAAAACCCGGTGGAGCATCGCACGAGCAACTCTGCCATGACGAGCAGCCGCACGCTTCCAAGACAAAAGGGCTGAAACGCTCTCATGTGGGACTCGTAGCCCGCAGTAACACGAGTCCTTTAAAAAATATCCCCAAAATACCTTCTTGCTGAGCTGCTGTCACGCGTCCCACCTGTTCCTTAGAGCCTCACTTCTCTGAGCCGCGTTTCCTGGAAGCGAACGGATAAAATTAGCGGTCCGGGCCGCCCGGCGTGGAGGGACGGGGGCAGAAACACCAATTCCGGGTGGTTCGGGCGAAGCAGCGCGAAGAGCGCAGAGCGCAGAGCGCAGAGCACAGCCCGACCGCCGCGCTCGTCAGCAAAGCGCGAAAAGGATTCGCCGCCCCTGCGAGCACCGCCGGCCTCGCCCCGCCCCGGGCAGCCGCTCCCCGCTCCCGCAGCCCCGCCGTTATTTTCGGCGCCGCTCCTCCCCCTCCTCCGCTCCTCCTCCCGTCCCGCTCCGCTTCCGGCCCCGGGCGGGCGGATGGCGCACGGCTGAGGCGGCGGCGCTGCGGGAGCCGAGGGGAGGTGAGGCGAGGCCGGGCCGGGAGGAGGCGATGCCGGGCCGTGGGGGGCCGGCAGGGCTGTGCGGAGCGGCGCGCGCTGACACCCGGCCCGCGTTCCCCATAGAAGCGTTTTCTCTGCGCGGCTCGTGTACGATTTGAGCCCCAGATCGGGTCAGCGCTTCTCCCACGTCTCCCAGCAGCTGCGTTTGATGGTATAAATGTACGAACGGCGGGCGTTAATCGATATGCTTGCTAACCCGACGCAAAGCAGGCTGTGTGGGATCGCCCCCGGCCCGCACCCATCCCTGCGATCCAATTCGGGCTGCCACCAACGACGACGGCTGTGGCAGCGAGCAGCAGCTTAAAAGGGAAGAAAACAAAGCGCTGCTTGGGGGGAGGTTCGGAGCCCGGCTGGGCGCTGCTGGCACCCAGAAGTGCTGCCCTGCCCGACCCCGCACCTCGGCCCCAGCTGACCCTGCAGTGCTGG